TTTCCCTAAAAGGAAATCACAGTAAATACCGAGCTGGATACACAGGAACGTGGGAAAACTTATAAATCAGTCATATACTTATAAATAGTCAGTTCCATTTGCTGCGACCACGCTTCTTGCACGAGCTTTCTTCCCTCCGCGTGCTTCTGGGTTAAAGGGTTTTAAGTACACAGTGTTGCCAGCGGAAGGCAGGAAGGGGGCCTTTCAGGCAGCGGTACAAGCACACCGTCTTAATCAGCCCTTCGACCTTCTTACAATTTAAAGCAGCATGTTTCAAAGTTATGTAGCAAATACCTTTGATTCTCCAATACTTGACATGTAATCTATATGAACTACCACTTTACCCACTTTACCCAAACCAAGATAACACGACACACCAAGACAACAGTTTATCCACTCTTCCCTCACTGCCGAGGTCTAATTAACTTAGAGAGCGTTCGTCTTAGTCTTCAATTTTCAAAAGCACAAGATTGGGTTGTTCAACACTGAGATAACTTGCTTACCACCGCATCCAGGAATTCAATGCACCTCTTTAGATCATGCTTTGTATTACAGAACTGCCTGAAGAGAAGCCTTCCAATTGGCTGCTTGTCACAAAGACTGCTATAGTCCTTCTCTGGGTGAAGACGGACAAGAAACAAACAAATATAAGGTTTTCTGAACCTTTACTGCTTTTACCTGATACGATAAAAGTAAAAAGAAGTCATCGCAGTATTATCTTTGAAACCAGTGTTTTGTTTACTAATTTACATTGGGTTATCAAGAATATTTAAAATTGGGCTTCCCTGGTGGCGCAATGGTTGAGAATCTGCCTGCTAATGTAGGGGACATGGGTTCGAGCCCTGGTCTGGGAAGATCCCACGTGCCGCGGAGCCACTAGGCCCGTGAGCCACAACTACTGAGCCTGCGCGTCTGGAGCCTGTGCTCCGCAACAAAAGAGGCTGCGACAATGAGAGGCCTGCGCACCGCTATGAAGGGTAGCCCCCGCTTGCCGCAACTAGAGAAAGCCCTCGCACAGAAACGAAGACGCAACACAGCCAACATAAATAAATAAAAAAATTTATTAAAAAAAAAAAAAAAAAAAGAATATTTAAAATTGAAGTGCCAAAGGCAGCTGGAAGAAAAGGGGGGGGGAAGCGGGGAAGGGGTGGTATTCCCTGGGGAAATAAGGGACAGGAAAGAGGACAGGGTCTGCCCTTCCACGGCTTCAACCACTCTGTGTGTTTGGCACGAATTATATGCATGTGAAATACACCACAGGAGTGAACTACATTAGATTTCTGAAAACTCTCTTCCATTTTGATACCTTTCTATTCTTTTACAAGTTAACAAATATTATATATGCTTAATGATTTTTTAACTGTTTGTTTTTTTTTTCTCTTTGGTGGGATAATCTGTTGCATACCTTACTTTACCCCAAACAAAACGGATACTGTTATTTGTTTATTTATTTATGGATGTGTTGGGTTTTCGTTTCTGTGCAAGGGCTTTCTCTAGTTGCGGCAAGTGGGGGCCACTCTTCATCGCGGGGCGCCGGCCTCTCACTATCGCGGTCTCTCTTGTTGCAGAGCACAGGCTCCAGATGCGCAGGCTCAGTAATTGTGGCTTACGGGCCCAGTTGCTCCATGGCATATGGGATCTTCCCAGACCAGGGCTTGAACCCATGTCCCCTGCATTGGCAGGCAGATTCTCAACCACTGCACCACCAGGGAAGCCCACGGATACTGTTTTGAGATCAAGGCACTAATATTTGGTCAAAGTGTCACGAGGGATATAAAACAAAATCTTATGTTCAAAATAGGTTCATTAAAACTTCAGCAAAGACTATACTTTCAGGGACCATTTGATTCACTTTGTTGTACAGCAGAAATTAACACAGCATTGTAAAGCAATTATACTCCAGTAAAGATGTTAAAAAAATAAAAAAAGAAACTTCAGCAAGAAAATCAGTTGCTCTTTTAGCAGTGCCTCTGAAGTTGAGCACAATTATGTCCAAGTACTCCTAAAGTAGCTGTAAAAGCTGACGAATTAAATGAAAGTCATGAAAAGAAGGCAAAAGCCATAACAATATCCTCAACTAAAGGCTTTATTAATGTCAAGTATACGTAGGAATTAAATCCTGTTTTGGGTCACTGGAGTTTGCACGTGGAAAATACAGGCAAGGATATAAACACTTTGGTTGCCAATGCACAACTGCTTGATTCAACAAATACCAGCACCAGTTTTGCAAACATTCTACAACCCACCTTGCCCAATTTTGTTACCACATTTTACTTGAGGGATACTCACTAACTACGTTTAAGAAACAAAAGACACAAGGCAGTCAAAAAGTGATGTTTTTAAAAAGTTGAGGGTTTTTAACTCTTTCCTCCCCAAACTCAAAGGTTCAGAAATGTTCCTGGTTTCCACTGAGGTAGCAGATAGAGCACAGGTCTGCCAACCTTCTTACCCAGCTTCCTACTGAAAGGAACAAAGACAAAATCACAACAAAAAGAATGAAACGTGATCTGGAAAAAGAATACAGGGCACCCTCAAGAGAGAAATTTGAGGATTACCTGGAAGAGAGAAAGCCTGTGGGGGCTGGACTGTTAAAGGAACCACCAGCTGAATCTGCAGAGATAAGCAGGTTGCCCGGGTGTCTGGGTCCCAGAAGCCCCTCCCAGGCCTGGACACAATTGCCGACCAAGGGGCTTCTTCAGGCTGAAGCCACGTGGCAGAAAGTTGGGACCCCAAGGGGGAGGCAGAGCACAGCTGAAGAACTACACACTCTGCTGGAAAAGTGGAGCCATGCTGTCCGTGGCCGCTGGAACGCAGGCCCTGTCTGGACGGCACCCCGCTGACGCACCCGCCTTCCAGAACACCATTCAAGAGAGGGGTACAACCACAGAGGAAGCCAGGCCGCCACCGCACAAAGAAACACAGCCCTTAACATAAACCTGAATAAATAATCGCATGTCTCTAGATACAGGGGAAAAGCAGCAGGTAAAAACTAAAACCAAAACCAACTAACCAAATAAACAAACAAAAAAAGCCAGCAGAAAAACTGACCCAGGAGAAAAGGTAATTCAGGCAACAGAAAACTTACCTTTTAAAACCCAATTAGTATCCTCTAGACTAGAGACTGAAGGCACTGCTAGAACATAAAGCATGAAAGAAGCAGTCACAGAACAAGAGTGTGGGCTTAGAAGTTAAATAAAAATATCCTGCCAATGCAGGGGACACGGGTTCGAGCCCTAGTCCAGGAAGATCCCACATGCTGAGGAGCAGCTAAGCCCGTGCGCCACAACTACTGAGCCTGCGCTCTAGAGCCCGCGAGCCACAACTGCTGAGCCTGCATGCCGCAACTACCGAAGCCCGTGTACCTAGAGCCCATGCTCTGCAACAAGAGAAGCCACTGCAATGAGAAGCCCGCAAACTGCAACGAAGAGTAGCCCCCGCTCGCCACAACTAGAGAAAGCCTGTGCGCAGCAACAAAGACCCAACACAGCCAAAAATAAATAAATTTTTAAAAATAAATTAATTAATTAAATTAAAATTTTAAAAGACTGATCAGATTTTCAAAAAGCCCTGGTGCCGGACTAAGGAGTTTCTCTCTCTCCTAGAAGGAACAGATAAAAATAATAACTACACGTAATATTTTTCACCTCTTACTGCGTGCCACTATGATTGTAAGTCCTTTCCATGTATTATTTCGTTTGAACTTCACAATAATACTTACAAGTTGGGCATTGTGAGGACAGCAGAGACCTTATGGGACCTGCTCACTTCTGAGGGCCGTCTGGATCTGGGGCTGTGGAGGAGACGGGGGCAGCGGAGCTGGGACAGGGGGACGGGACAGGGGACCAGCCAGCGGACGAGCAGCTGCTACCAGAGGGAGGTGGTGAGTGTCAGAAGGAGAGGCCAGCTTCCGGTGACAAGTGCATCTCAGAAGGTGACTCACTCCAATTCTGAGTCCCCTCGTGGTGAGGAGACGGCAGCAGGAGGGAGTCTACATTCTTAAAATGATCATTTTGGTTATGTATGTTTTACCACGATTTGAAAAACATTTGTACGTGAATCACTGTAGTCACTTTATTCATAACAGACCAAAAATGAAAACAACTCAATGTCTATGAAATGATGAATGGATAAATAAAGTGTGATATGTCTATACAATGGAATATTACTTGCCAACAAAAAGGAATTAAGTTCTGATTCATGCTACAGCATGCATGAACTTTGAAAAGATTATGTTAAGTGAAAAGAAGCCAGTCACAAGAGATCACATAGTATATGTTTCCCATTTATATGAAATGTCCAGAGTAGGCAAGTCCACAGAGACAGAAGTAAATTAGTGGTTGCCTGTAGCTAGAGGTGGGGGAGGGAATGGGGAGTGGCTACCAACGGGTATGGGGTTTCTTTTGGGTGATGAGAATGCTGTAAATTGAAAAATTGATTGTGATAATGGTCACGCAACTCTGAGAATGTATTAAAAACTATTGAATTGTACACTTTAAATAGGTGAATTGTATGGCATGTTAATTATATCTCAATAAAGCTGCTAATTTTAAAACATAATGAGGAAAAAAATGTAATGACATTAAAATGGCTGGATAGGTCTCTGGGGAAAAAATACTCCCACTTTATACTATCTGAAATTAATTTTGATAGTTAAAATATTTAAACTTTCTTAAAAAGGAACTATAATAGTACTAAAGAAAAGATAGATTTTTTAAAAAATTATCTTAGGGAGTAAAGGTGTCCTCCCTAAGTACAACATAAAGCTCAGAGACTAAGAAGAAAAATATTGATATAGTTGTCTATATAAAAAATTAAAACTTCCATATTGAAAAATACTGCAAGCCAAGAGGCAAAAAGCATAAATATAAAATGTATTCACAACGAATATAAAAGGATAACACCTTTCATATATAAAGAACTTAAAAAAATGAATTAGAGAAAAGCAAATTGAAAAAACCCAATGAAAATGCTCAACCCCAACCATAATTAAAACAAGAGACCATTTTTCAAATTACAGTTTAGTAAAGGTTAAAAACATTGATAACGACCAGTGTTAGCAAGCTCATAGGCAAGGGTAAAGCGCTACAACCTTTCTGAATGGCAATTTGGGAACATCAAAATTTTGAATGCACACACCCTCTGAAATGGAAATCATGTCTCTAAAAAAATACAATTATAATTGCCCTTAGACATGACTCTACTTGTGACTTCTTGTGCTCACGTCAGGACCTGTAGCTAACTCTCTCCTTCTTTACATTGGAGAGTATCCCATGACCCCGCCATACCTTATGTTTTATCTGACTATTCCTTTCCTGAAGTTCTCACCAGTAATTCCTGTCCATACGCATAGAGAACTGTCTGGAAGGAGACTGAGAAACGGTTACCAGTGTTCACTTCTAGAGAGGATGATTGCTGCATTTCTCTTCTGTTCTACCTAGAACAATGGGTATATATCACTTGTTTTTTTGGCCGTGCTCCACAGTACGTGGGATCTTAGTTCCCCGACCAGGAATCGAACCTGCAGCCCCTGCATTGGAAGCGCGGAGTCTTAAACACTGGACCACTGGGGAAGTCCCAGTTCTTCAAAAAGGTTTTTAATGAAAAAGTCAATAGCCATACTTTATAACTGCACATTAGAAAATCTACAGGGTTTTTTCCTGGGAAGAATCGTGACGATATACGGAGAATCTATTAAATAGCATTTGAAGCAAATAAGGGACTAAGGAAAGACCAACATCTAACAAACGAAACAGCACAACGCCAGCCATGACCTCTGGACTCGAGCGCGTGAGGCTTCCTTACTCACCAATCGAATGTCGAAGCTTGCTGCACTGGCTGACGGGGGGCAGCTTCAGCTTCTCCCTCCATTTTTTACTACGACCGCTTTTTTTGCCATATTCTCCTAAATTTGAAAAAAGCAAGGCATTTTTGTAACAATCAGAAACATCCATTTAAAAAAAATAACTTATTTATTCATTTCTGGCTGCCTTGGGTCTTCATTGCTGCGCACGGTCTTTCTCTAGTTGTGGCGAGCAGGGGACTACTCTTTGCTGCGGTGCACAGGCTTCTTATTGCGGTGGCTTCTCTTGCTGTGGAGCACGGGCTCTAGGCGGGTGGGCTATGGCACGTGAGCTCAGTAGTTGTGGCTCACGGGCTCTAGAGCACAGGCTCAACAGTTGTGGCGCACGGGCTCAGTTGCTCCGCGGCATGTGGGATCTTCTGGACCAGGGCTCGAACCCGTGTCCCCTGCACTGGCAGGCGGCTTCCCAACCACTGCGCCACCAAGAAAGTCCCAGCAACATCCATTTCTGACAACTTCATCCACTAATGTAGTCTGTTTGAGTAGCTTGGGTCCCTACGAGGAGTGATCTGGAAGGCACCCTGACGAAGTGTGAAAATCCCACCGAGGCAATCAGTCACTGGCTCTGTCCTTTAGAAATCAGGTGACCTGGACCTTTGTAAGCAGCTCTGCTAAGCCTATATCCAAGTTTGTAAACCAGACCTAATATCGTGCCATAAAGGGCTGCTTATAAATAAGCACCCACTATATATACCAAACACCTTCAAAGTGCAGGAAATACAGTGGTAAAAAAAGACCATTCTAGTGAGGGAGAGAGATTAAAAATCACTTAATGACAAGTGATAAGAAAAAAATTAGCCAATCATATAGTGATAAACGGTGTGAAACAAAATCAAGCAAGGCACAGGCGGAGGGTGTTCTTTGGGCTGAGGTAGGACCAGGAGAGACCCCTCTGGAGGGTCACGCTTAGGCAGAGACCTGGGATGTGAGTCTCGGGAAGGTCTGGGAGAAGAGGACTGTCCCTATCGAGACAAGAATGGTGGGAAAAGCAATTAGATGATATTTTAGAAAGAGGTTTTTAAACAACTGACCTTTAAAAAAAGTTTAACTCCGAGAAACTAGAACCTTCGATTTTAAGCATTCTGAGGAACTGAAGTTTTACTGAATTTTATCCAAGATTAAACATACAGTTGTTTTGTTTTGTCTTGGTGTGGTTTGGTTTGGTTTTGTGATTATTTTTTTAATTATTTTTTATTGGAGTGTAGTTGCTTTACAATGTTGTGTTAGTTTCTACTGCACAGAAAAGTGGATCAACTATCTGTATACATGTATCCCCTCGTTTTTGGATTTCCTTCCTGAACTCTACCCAGAGCATTGAGTAGAGTTCCTTGTGCTATACAGTAGGTTCTCATTAGTTATCTAAAAACATCACAAGTTTTGGCTGGTGACTAAAGCCTCCAGGACTATTGGGAGGAACAGGGAAATCAGGAGGAAGGTCCTGTTTCTCGGGGAAGTGATGCGCTCGCAGTTTGGAGAGGAAGACACCAGAAGATGGGGGGCTGTTTTAGGCTCAGGAGGGAAGGTCTGGCTGCAGACAGAGATTTGACAGTGGGTGCCTAGTGGGTGCAGGTGGGAGACACGGGGCCTTCCTCCTCAGCCTTCCTTTGTGCTCCACGACTCCCTCCATTTCAACTGAGATCGTGAGCCCTGGACTTGCACCCACCCCCCGGACGTCCCAGAGCACCTCAAGGTCAGCTTCATCACCCCCTGCAATCCAGGCCTCTTTCCACACTGAGAATCCTGCCAACAGCTACCGTCTACCAGGCGAAGGAGGCAGGAAACTGGGGTACCATCTAACTCTGTCTGCTAAGCACCGCAGTCAGTCACTCAGGAGGGGTGCACTGCTGCGGTCCCGCGTGCAGGGCCCTGTCGGGCACCAGGCACACCGTGCAGAATCACGGAGGCCAGCCCGGCCTTCCAAGGCGCTCCCGACCGCCCCCCGCAACTGTCCTTTCACGCCAGGGCCACCACTCTCCTGCACCTCCCTTCCAACTGGGCTTCCGACCTCTTCCTCCCTTCCAGACCCTCCCCACTGCCTCTCGGGGTCACCTTCCTAACATGCAAATACAAGCTCACTTCTCCACCGCCTACAGACCCTGAAGGTGTCGCGGAGTCTGAAGATGGAGTGAGAACAGACTGCAGCCCTGCCTGACACCATCCCCAGGCACACCATGCCCAAGCCACGCCACTTACAAAATCTCCATGCGGCTCAAGCAGGACCCCCCTCCAGGAAGCCCACCCTGATTGTCCGAGGGAGAGGCAAGCCTCTCGAGGGCTGAGAGGAGGAGGAGGGTTAGGACAGGTCCACAATACCCTCACCTCTCGAGGACCTTCCCACCTATGGACTCGTTCAATCACCCCCTCGGATGTAGGTACTGCTACTAGTTAGTCCCTTATCTCACACAAGGGACCCAAGCTAAGAGTAAATAACTTGCCACTGTCACACAGCTGGCGAGAGAAGAACCAAGACACACTCAGGCCTGCCCAACTCCAGGAATTCCGCTTAAACAGTACTGTCTATTAATAAGCAGTAAGCTGCAACCAAAGCGGTTTTGGTTTCGTTTTTTTATTTTGAAGTGCAAAAGCATCTAAACTAAAGATTTGCCATGAACACGTTTAGAAAATAAGGTATGTTGGGACTTCCCTGGTTGTCCAGTGGTGAAGAATCTGCCTTCCAATGCAGGCGACGCGGGTTCGATCCCTGGTCAGGGAACTAAGATCCCACATGCAGTGGGGCAACTAAGCCCACACGTCACAACTACTGAGCTCGCGCACGCCTCAACTAGAGAGGGAAAACCCACGCGCCACAACCAGAGAGAAGCCCGTGCGCTGCAACGGAAGATCCCGCGTGCCACAACTAAGACCCCATGCAGCCAAATAAATAAATAAATAAATATTAAAAAACAAAAAAGAAATTAAGGTATGTGTGAAATGAAAATAAGAGTAAACCAAAACTCCCAAGATGTCGGAAATGGTTATGGTGATGACCATAATAATGAGTAGCCCTTATTAGCATTTACTAAAAGCCAGATACTTTTCTTGAAGTTTCTCAAGTCTACTCTCACTAAATCTTCCCATCTGCCCTACAAGGCGAGTACTGTTGCTGAGCACTTGTTACAATCCTCATTTTACAGGTGTGGAAACGAGGGCACAGATGTGTGGAATAATCAGCCCAAAGCTTTACAGCCAGTAAGCAGGGACGCTGGGATTTGAACCCAAATAACCGCCCTGGACAAATGGGGACGCCACCTTTGTCACAGCGGCTCTTTTCCCATCAATGACCAGGACTGCCAAGATAAGTGCACAATGCGAGGAAGAGCTGGCCCCAGCGGGTCCTGGATATTGAGGGGCTTGTGACGTGGTTTTATACCTTGAATGCCATAATTATTTGTATAACATATTTTGTGACGTTACACACCATCCAACTACAATCATGAATTTAGTGTGTATTATTCCAATCCATTTGTAAATATCTCCGTGTGTGCGTGTGTGTGTGTGTGTGTGTGTGTGTGTGTGTGTGTGCAGCCATGAACAGTATCGTATTGTTTTAAAACAAGATTCTTAAACTGGGATCCACAGCAGATATCGGGGTGTCCCTGAATTCAAACTGGAAAAAGAAATCATCTTTATTTTCACAAACTTCCAAGCAAAATTCATCACTTCCTTCTGCTATAAATATAGACAAAAGTACAATCATATTAGCAGTGCCTGTGACTTTATCACCAGGAGAATTCAGATTTTCATGTCACATCATCGTTACTAGAGGTAACTCAAAATATCTTGTATCTCAAACGACTTTGAAATTACAGTATAGGTGCCAGGCCAGCAGCCAGACTGTCTACAAGCACTCATGCGACATGGCCAACCAACCCTTAGGCAGCTCTGTGCGGGGCAGTTAATCGTTCAGACTCCAAGTGGCCAGGTCCCAAGTTCTCATATGGGTGGTCTAGCTACCTACCTTACTCTCTACAATTCCCTACAACTGTACTGATCAACACACGGAAGGAGGTAAGTCAAAGGCCATCCCTCAGTTTACAATCCCCATTTCAGCTGATCAACAAGAGCCCTCACACCGACAGATCTTTAAAAGATGACACCTTAACTTGCCTATGTTTTACATGTATTGCCTTGTCACTTAATGCTCTAATAACAAAGCACATATTGTAACACGAATCCATTAAAAATTGTATAATTATTTTAATATAACTGGCTTCCTTTACAACTGTAGGTAATTAATTTTATTTAGATTAAGAAGCCCTATTCTAGAGGTGGTTAAATTAGCAGGA